TCTTTCCCTCCACTGTATTCTTCATATATGTATATATATGTAATGTATACACACATGCCAAAATGGCCATGCATGATGTATGTGTTCTGTATGGTCATCTGGAGTTTATAATGGTATCGATATGTCGATGTCTGCAGCTATGTTGCTGCATGGAGCATTTCGGGAGCTCAGCTCGAACTAGGGATGTATACGTACATGTACATACACTGCAATGAACTTCGTGAGCTTGGAGGTGAAACACATGGATTATTCACAATCCCAAGTTCTTTTCTATTTTGATTTTTCTATGAAAAAATATACATCTCTTGTCTTTACCACTTCATTATGTTTTTTTGTTACATTGCATGGAAAATAAGGCCAATATTATAGGAAAGTATATTACTTTCGGTTTGTGTTATGTTTCTTTGATGGGTTTCATTGTGTTGAATGAGAAATCAAAGAAGAAACCGAATAATATGAAAAAGAAATTGATAAATGTTGGAAAGATTACATTCTGTCACCAATAATAAAAAAGGCAAACCCTTAATTATACAACTAAGAATATGCTTCCGCTTGAAAAAAAAAACCCGGAATGTTAAAATGTAATATATTTATAAAAAAAAAGAACAAAGAACGAAGAATTTAAAAAAAAAATGCAAACGCCACATATAAATACAGTTTTGCTAACAAATTATGCACACAAATACCAAAATTCAATGCATCAATGGAGGAGACACCTATAAACCAACAGAGGAACAAAGCAGTGTTCTGTTCTGTCTGTCTCTTGTCTCAAGTTGGACTAAGATCACGTGAAGATTGACCTTGCCATCTGCAAACACAATGAACCCATTTGAAACTTCCATCTACAGAATTACTTCCCATTTATAATGTCATAAAATCACAAAAGAAGGGAAGAAGCTCATCCATCCAATCCGATTCCAAACCTTGAGAGTAAGAATCTCGCGAGAGGGCTAACATTAGCGTTGGAACTGAACTCTTTGTTAGGTTGCCTTCTTCTGTTCTCTGAATCAGAGGGTGTTGGCTTGGCGAAAACACGAGCTGCCATTTCCTGCAATTCTTTCACCGAAGCTTCCTTAGAACTGCATCGGAACGTTTGGGTTTCATCAGATCAAAGTATCCAAACCATTTGTGCGTGTATATATGACACATATTGTTCATAAGATTTCCCCTACCTTCCCAAATGTTCAATCACCTTGGCGACAAAAGCTTCACAAGAACCAGGCTTTTCACGTTCCATGTTCGCAATGGATTTTGAAACTGCACGTCCAACTGCCCCTTTTGAATCGCCCCCAAGAACCTATACCATAAATCCGATAAATAAAGGCATTGTGTGAACGACGGGCGCTTCATACATTAGTAGCATTTGGACACAAATACTTGTTCTTGAGCTTCGACTCTCCTAACCCATTAACACTTGTCAGGAAAAGAAGGGCAGAGAGTTCAAGACATCCCAAGTGTAACTGAAGATGGCAAATGTTATCTATAGTTCTCAGGAAAAGAAGGGCACCTCTTTTAGGGAAGGCATGAGCACGAGTGACAGTGATGCAGACAATGATGCCAGTTTCAAGTCATCTTCATCATCACTCAGTTGTGATCTTGTGATTTGTTTTGGCGCGTCGAAATGATCATGGGAATTTCTGCGAGGTTAAAGCTTCGATTTAGGAACGACCAGAAAGTCTGCAACAAACAGAAACTATGATCTAGACGCACCTCGAATTATCTGAACCTTCTGTCATTTGTTCCCTTCTTCGATTGGCCTTCCCATCACTGCTAACCTTGCCCATTCCGAACCTTTCTCTAGCATTTCCCCTTCTGAAACCAGCTTCGATTGCTGCCTTTGCCTAGATGAATGTTTTAAGTTTGTGTTAGAATAAATCTGATGATTAATCCATTACTAACCAGATACATCAAACTTTACAAATAATAACGTCAGCAAATAAATTCCAAACCCCGATTGACATTCGATGGGAAATTATTGAAATGCAAAAAGCAATTAAATGTTTCCCAAACCACCTCTGTGAGATTTGTTGAACTGTCTTCCGAAGCACTAGAAGTTCTATCTTGAATTCCTAGTTTTGATTTTGGTGTTCGGGGCGATCCAGAATCATCATGCTGGTCACGAACAACAGTTCCACTTGTAGAAGCATCATCAAAAGATGCATACCTGCTGCTAGACTATACAACAGAACTGGAATCAGACATGCTAGCGGTTGAACAGCAAGACAGTACAAGGGTTTAAATTGCAGACTTGCTTCAGTTAAAAAGAAAGGAAGGAAGAAATCTGATACCGAGCTTTGATCATGGAATATAGAAGATGGTTGAGGACTTCTAGATCTTATGACAACAGTTCCAGAGCCACTGAGCGATGAATCATCCTGAAAATTCAGAAACCAGTATCACAGGTTAGAAGATCATAGAATTTAAACATCCACTATAGCACAGTGCCATACAGAAGGAGAATCACGTTGAGGGGAGTTCAGGATATGAAAACAATAACTATATTCCAATTTTTATAGGCAAGTGTATTGATAACTTAAGGTAGAAAATGCGAAGAGTTCTGAGATGTGGCAGTCCTTCAAGTGAACCTAACCACATCCAGAACTGGTCGCCCAAGAAACTTGAAACAGAATAGATCATAATGATAAACTCGGCAAATTTAGAAAATAATTTCCCGACACATGATCAGACGACAAGGAAATGGTCTTAAAAAACAGAGACAGCATCTGCGCACACATTAGGTGAAGGGTCTTACTTCATCATGGACGTCATCGAGATTGTCATTCTGATAAGAATCTCTTTTAACAGAAGCCCCTTCAGAGGCTTCCGGAACTGTACTACCAGAAGCGGATGACCATTGGCTACCACTAGTCCGTGATGTTCTTTGCGAGGTCTGATTAGAGGGAACTTCTTGGCGCCTTTCCCTCACATGAGGAGGTTTCAGAGCCCGTACTGTTCCAATGCCCTGAGACCCACCAACACTGAAGTCCCACCCGGCATTTTTCACAGTTTTTACCTGAATACTGTATTTACAAGTATTTCAGAATAATGAAAAAAAAGGAATTCCATGAGGAGAACACATATCCCACCTAGTTCCAGTATTCGCTTGGCCTCTTTCATCTCTATCCATTTTGACAATGCTAGACGACTCAGCTAGAGCTTTTGGACCATTTCTTGGAGTCTCTCCATCCTCCTTTATTTGAAATTTTGGACGCTCTCTGTACAGAACAAGAGGGGGAAATGGCAGAATAACTATCAATCTTATTCTGGAGACGGAAAGAACTATCAATCTTATTCTGGAGTTCTTTTGGCATAAAGGCAGATAAGAGACAAAAGTCAATAAACGACTACATGTTAAACCGCATAACTATTCTAACATCACAATCAAATAAATGGAGGTGCAAAACTAGAATCACAAACCAAAGTTGGAGAAAAAAGCATCATCACACCTTATCCTCTCAAGAAGTCTTGGACTCTTCCTAGCATTCCTAATAAATCTGTGTCTGAGTAATTCTTTGGCGCTTTGTCTCTGTAAGTAATGAACAAATGTAAAGAGATCTTTCCAAACCATAGCTGGCAATAACAGATACAAGAAGCAAGGATTGTGTTACAAGTACCTCAGCAGGAGCCTTTTTCAAACATAATGAAGCAAACTCCTTCATAGGACGGGAAAAATGATCATCTAACTGCAGACAAAAATGAAATGTTAAAAACCTAACTTCTGGAAGATGACTTCGCAATCAAGAGACATGGCACTATTAGGTGACTCCAGAGCAAAATACTCCAACAATCTAGTAGGATTTTTTAACGCTTAAATTGAAAATTATGTGAACCTGAGGAGGACTTTCCCGGGGAATTATAAACAGCACCCTCATTGGATGAAGGTCAGCTAGTGGAGGTTCTCCTTTTGCCATCTCAATTAGGGTTATTCCGAGCGACCAAATATCTGCCTTCTCATTATAGCCTTCTGAGTTCTGAATCACTTCTGGTGCCATCCAAAACGGTGTTCCTACAAAAGTCTGTCATCGTTATAAACATTAGTGCATGCAATCCAAACAGTTGAACAACAGCACTACACAATCCTAGGAGAACTGACGATGATGTCTAAACGGCCAAGAGATGTCTTTCAACTATCGTCCAGCTTTGTGAAGATCCCTTGCAACATAAATTTTCCAACAAGGGAACAATTTTATGAAGACATGTTGGAGTTCTATCAGTTGAAGGCTATGTATATGAAAATGGGAGTGAAACTGTTGATCGGCAAGATGAAAATGCTAGCAGAAAAATGAAAGCAAGGAGAACAAAGAACCCAATATCAATCTTCTTAAGTATATTGCAGGGATATAAGAGAAGCAATTGCAACATACCAGAAAGAAAGAACCAACATAGGGAATTGAAGTAATTATTAGCACAACAAAATAAGCACCTTTCTCCTTGATATTGTCCGTGTCAATTGCGCGGAAACACCGAAGTCCGCAACCTGTTATAGTGTAAGAAAGGAAGTTGGAGACCCGAGCTGATGCAACTCAAACATCTGAGTACTCCGGAGACAAAAAAAAATTGAAATCTCAGTGTCTAAGGTTTAAGCAAGTATAGCATACCTTCACATCACCATTTTCTGTCAGCAATATATTAGCAGCTGCAATAAGAGGATGGAAAAGATTGTCATGAAACAAGCTATACAGGAACATTTGGATCACAGGCGAAACCATAAGATATTTCAAAGTCTACTAGAGCATAGATAACCTTTGATGTCTCTGTGAATCTTTCCCTCATTATGCAAATATTCAACCGCAAGAAGCAGATCTCGTGTAATACAAGCGATTGATGTTTCATCCAGTGGTGGACCTGATTGCAGCTGCGGAAGAGAGTTTAAAAATTATAAGGAGCGCCAAAGAAGAAGATAAATGTAGAAAAGAACTCCACTGTGATGTATGTGCATCACTGCACACACAATTATATTTCTCAAGTTTCTGACAACAAGGAAGTAATACGACATACAAGGTCAGCAACAGAACCGCCGGCCATATATTCCATGATGATCCACAACTTCGTCTGATGAAGGTAGGAACCATAGTATTCGGTAATATAAGGACAGCGGCATTGTGACAAAACTGAAATTTCCTGGGAGTCAACAACGAAAAAGAGAACCAGACAATCATAAGGGGAATGGCAAATGTTAATCACAGAAGTTAATATTTGATAAAGAAATACCTTCTGGATATCTTCAATCTCATCCTCTCTGCCAGATTAAAAGCAACATAGCAACTAAGAAAGGAATATTGGACATGGTAGGATTGTAGAAACATACTAGAACTGATAACTGAAGGCATTTTATGAAGAAAACCAGAGGCAAATTAAAGTCGCCTTGAAAGACATGAACATGAAACGTACATTGAATTACAAGAGAACGTTTGACAATATAAGAAAGCAGATTAACTTTGCCCAGAAGCTTAGTTGGAGAACTATGTATCAAACAGGCAAATAAAAAAAAGGAAATAAGAAAAGCAGTTCAAATACTTACGATTCTTCCAGATCAATCACTTTAATGGCAACCTCTTTGTTGAGCTCCTTATCAAACCTGATAATCAGAGGCAAGTCACAGCTCAGCATACAAATTTTTAGCCATGCGTTGCTCAATAAGATTGTAAATTAACGCCAACCAATTCCTTCTCAATCAACTAGTGGAATCGGATAATAGTTAAACCTATGGTTTTCACCTATTCTAGTTATCAACAAACACCCATGTCCAAATTCTCTCTACCAAGAGTTATCAAATAACAAAACTATGTAGCTTATGGCTCATATTCTAGCAAATCTGATACCATAGAAGTTGTATTGAAAAAAAAAGATTATATGTAAATCACCATGGACTAGCTGAAGTTTCACATCTTAATGTCTTATATCACATGCTGACAATGCAATAAAATCTTACTGTATCAACATGGAACAGAAAAGATAACACATGTACTAATAATTAAAGTTTCCTGGCATTGCACTCACATTTTCTGGATACACACACCGTATTTCTAGACCATAAAGCACATAAAGTGTCTTCAAGATCATATTCTGGTTTTCAGCACTTTGTACTCGGATGGGGTTAGATATAGTGCAACTGTGTTTTCTCCAAGAAAAAAAACCACACAGGAAAAGATATGTGCAGGAAACAAAAAATGTTACATGATTATGCTCTCAACTTCCAAAAACTTGCGTTTGCAGGGCATAAATTTCTTTGTAAGCATTTCGATATAGATTCTTAGCAATAAGAACAATTTACTGATATCATTAATCCAAAAAGCCACATAAGGACTCTTCAACATAATCTAGTGTGGCAGCTATATACCAGATGCCAGGGCACCTCTTATCGCGAGATATGAAGAAGATATAAATCTGAAAAGAACTCATGAAACCGAACTGTACTGACTCGATACTTACGCTTTATAGACATCCCCAAATGATCCTCTTCCAATCAACTCGAACTGGCTAAACCTGGCCCCAGCTGCCTCTTGTAAACCCACAACGTCATCCATATCCACATACAAGGGAACCCTACTCTCTCCCTCCGCAAACCCCTGATAAGGAAAAACAAATGAACCGAGAACAAAGGATCAGAAGAGAAATCTCACCCCGCAACCCCAAATTTAACCATTACTCAGCCCACGATTAATTTTTCCGAAGTGGGTCAAACCCTGAAACTATTTTCCAACACATTCCATTAACAGCAAGAACTTGGGAATAGCCCATATCATAATCCGAAGAAAGAACCGCACAAAACGGGATCTATAAATCCACAATGAAAACAGACGAAACTGCATTGCGGATAAACCTTTTACTCAAAGCAAACGAATTAAAAGGAAAAATTTGGTACGTAACGGAGATTTCTCACAAACATAGCATCATCGTCCCGTTAGGTGGATTCGAAGAAGTGACGTCTGAACGAGAAATTTTTCTACTACCCAATAAATTCTCCACTATAGGACAGCGCAATAACAACATAAACGTGAGTTGAAGCATCGTAATCATCCTAGATCCCTCTCCCATCTGAAGAACCAGACAAGAAAAAAAGTCTGCGAATCACTTTGATTGCGATGTCAAATCCGAGAAATGCCAAGACCGATTCCAATTACCTGGTAAATTTGACGAAGACGATAAACAAATTACACAGATCGTTAAATCCTTCCCCTCTTTTCTATCAACTTCCCGAGAAAATTCTCTCTCCAATGGCTTCTCACGAGCACCAAGAGATCGAGAGGAACTGTTCTCTGATGAAGTTTCCTCGATTTGATTCTTCAATTTGCATTCATTTTCTCTTCCCATCCAAATCTATTATTTAAAATTAATACTAATAATTGGAAACCAGTCCTACGGATCCGACCCGATTTACGTTACCGTTAAAGAACAAAGACCCGGTTTCGCTAATACGCAGCGTTTCGATTTTGGGAGGCCCATTTGGTAATTTTAGTCAAAGGGCCTACTGATTTCTAAGAGTCCAGTTCTATTAAAAAAAAAGGGCTGTACATATGGGCCTTCAAAAGAAACAAGCTCTATAGACCCAGCAAAAAAAAAAGGTGTCCCCATGGTAAAGATTTGAAAATTTTTATTTTTGTATTATAAACCATCAAAATATTTTCTTTTCACAACTTTAAAAAATACTATAAATATAGGACTTTAAATTAAGAATCAAGTTTTACAACAAAAAAATCGCATTAAACACTCTAATTACCTGTTGCCTTAAAAAAAAACTTCCGATAGAAAAAATTTGGAACAAGTTCTTAACACATCTTCAAATTCAAATATATTCATTTTATGAGATCAAAATTATATATATATATATAGGGAAGCCTCCCAACCTAGTGGTTAATGACAACTCCCCTCTACCATGAGGTTGTGGGTTCGAATCCCAGATATGGTACTCCCCTTGAGCCGATCAATTTTACGAAGCTGGTTTATCTGCTCTGCGTGGTTTGTCGGTTACTGCGTAGGACGGTAGATTTTCTCAGGTCTGCGATGCTGTCCTGATACCGTTCTCGTCTGTTGCAGTGTCTGTTGTCCAACCCGGAAGGTAGTAGAATAGGGGTTTCCATCGTAAAAAAAAATATATATATATATTATAAAATTACGAATCCGTATATTTTAATTATTTTCAGTAATAATATCCTTAAAAAATGGACCCCACATTTGAAAATACAGTCAAAGATGAGAAACCAAAGGGCCGGGCCGGTCAATGCGGAGCAAAGACCCGGAGAGGATTTTCTTTTCAGACTGAGAATTGCAGTCTGTTACCTCTCTTCTGCTCTCTCTACACCACGCGCCTCCCTCGCGCGTATTTTTCATGCGCTCGTTTTGTATTTTTTTTTCTCTCTCTAAAAAAACGAATATATTCAATTCAAAAAAAAGTCTCCAAGAATTATCCTCGTATATTCGTACTGCCACGTCTCTTCCGCAATGGCTCATTCTTATTTTTTTTTTCCATTTTTTACATACAGTCTGAGTATATCTAAAAAACATAATTTTTTAAATCTAGTAAATAAATATATAAATTTGAACATTTTTTATATAAATTCATATAATCTTATATGAAAATATATAAGTTTTGATTTTTTTTTTCATACGATCATATAAAAAATCATTAAGTTTAAAATTATCGTAAATTTTCGGCAAAAAATTTAAATTTTTTATATTTTTATAAAAAAATTAGAAATTTATATATTTATTTGTTAAATTTAAAAGGTTCATTTTTTTGCTATACTCCATATTTATTACCATCCAAATATTTTAAAAAAATTTAAAATAATAATTAATAAGTGTAGTGCCAGTGATTCATTTAAAAAAGGAATATAACACGTTCAACAAATGATGTATTTTATATAATCTAATTAATTTATGTCTTGTACAATTTATATAACAAATTTTCTATACTTATTTTGAAATTATTTTGAATTAAAAGTAATTGGAATACATTTTTTCAACATATTTTGATATTTATAAACTAATTTATATGTATTCATAAAAAGTTGAAAATATTATTAAAATTGTAATTTATTTATCTGTGATTTATATTTTTTTCTATAATTAGATAGAAAAATATTAAAATAAATTATTTTCAAACATTGAGTTTTCAGAAATTATACAATTTATTTTTTCAGTAAAAATATACATATATAGATATCTCTAATAAAAATATTTTATAGAATATCTTAATTTAATAAAACTTCTAGTTATTACTCCAATTAATTTTATCTGAATTCCTCGACTTGATGTTTGATATATACTGGTAAAATGGAGCTCATAAAATATTTATTCCACCTCATATACGTCATATGTCATATCCATGTAATTAATTATTCATTTGTTTTTTTTAATAAAATATAGTTAAGTGCGTGCGCTCACGTCGAAGCTGTGCGCGTGGAAGATGTGAAAGAGAAGGGGCTACACAAGGCACGTGCGCACGTGACTCTTAAATCTCTTCTTCCTATATATTCTCTTTGTCGCCCCTTGCTCTGCGTGCGTGTACAGATTATTAGTATTTCTTATGCCTAATTTAATTAATTGTATTTAATTACAGAAAGCTGGTGAATTTTTGTCCTAAAGAGCCTCTCTCATAAGGTTTTATTTCACATTGACAATGCAAATGATTTTTTTTTTAAAATGAAATTGTATTTTATCAATGTTTTCGGAGCAATAAGACTCTTTTTCAATGGTATTTTTGGATATCGTTCAAACTAAAACATCATATTTATTTTATATTCGAATTCCATCAGAAGAATCTGAATTCTTAGTTATAAATTTTTTAAATTAAAATCATGAAATATATATATATATATAAGAACAAAGATCAATAAAAAAATATAACAATAAAAATAATTAATTATTTATAAATATTATAAGATTTATCTCCCGGTTGATAAATAGATAAATGTAATGTTAATCAATGATATGTTATAGATATCCAACATCATTATCTAAAACGGTAAAACTCTTGGTGTTTGACAGTATATATCAAATCAATTTGGATCAAAACGCAAAACTGTGCATATAAATATAAATATCTCTATACACAAATGTACATATATATATATATATATATATATATATTGATCTAAGCTCACAAGAGCTATAAAATACATAATAAAAAGATTGAAGTTTTGGTAATTTGATAATTGGGGTATATAACACAGTCCTTAGGCCAAAAGTGGTCTGGTGCCGAAGTGCTTTTCTCCTACCGTTAATTAACAATTAACGTAAAATGTGCTGTAATTATTACCATTGGCACTGTAATTGTAGCTTTATAATCATAGCAACAACAGTTTTACCCACTTATAAGGCCATATCATATTCATGTATATATTGGGAATAATTTGATGCCAATATAAAGAATGAAAAGTGTTATTCTATGTTCTGATTAATTAATGTTGCTGTTGAGTTAATAAAACTTTAATGATGACATGGTCGCATAATTACTTTTTTTTTAATATCATCTATACACGAAGTTATAAACATTCATATAGATTGAAAAATGAAATCCCATAAAAATAAAATTAGTGAACAGATTAAAAAAAAAACCCCATAAAATTCAACTGTAGACGTACACCACGAACAATTTATTTTTTGCGCAACTATTTTCGTTTTGAAAAATAAAATAACCAAGAATTTAGTTACCAAAATTTGAAAAATAAACAAAGTACTTGTAGTATTGAAAGGAGATTCATATGTAAAATTAATTAAGTAACTATGCTAAAAAATATATATAGAGAGAGATCAGAGACGTCCATGACCCTGTGGTCACAGAATATGGTCATTCCATCATATATACATACATATATATATATATATATATATATATATATATATGAAATTTCCCGAAAACCATGAGATGTAAGACTTAATTTGCTAGAATTTTTTTTATAAATTATAATTTTTTAAATGGTAATAATAAAATCAATATGTGATATCATGATAATATATCATATATATCAATTTTCTTAGAATATCATGATAATATATCATATATATTATATAATTTGCTTAGAAAAATCATATACACAAGATCTTAAAAATAATCCTGAATAGTATGACAACAGACTGTAATTGTTTATCTTAACCATAGATAATCTAATGATTTAAAAAAAGGAAAAAAAAAAGATGGTAGAATATAAAAGAAAGAAGCTAGGTCGCCTAAAGCTTGAGGAAACGGTGAAGAACAGAAAGAAAGGACAAAGGCAAGAGAACGATACACAAATACCAACATACGAATTTTTTTTTAGCATACCAAAATTTACATGTTCACATATATAGATATATAGATATACATAGATAAGAGACAGAAAGCTAGAGAGAGGAGAGAGAAATGGTGGGCTCGGGAGGAGGAGGAAGCGGTGGAGGAGGAGCAGATCATCATCACCAACATCATCATCATCACCATCACCATCGTCATAATAATCATCAACAAAGGAGCAAAGAAGCCGTGGGCATGGTGGCCCTCCACGAGGCCCTTCGAACCGTTTGTCTTAACTCCGACTGGACTTACTCTGTCTTCTGGTCCATCCGTCCTCGTCCGTACGTCCCCTCTCTCTTCCTCTCTCTCTCTCTCACCGTCTCTTGTATTGTGTGCGTTCCTACCTTTGAAACGTTGTCGTTTTGAGAGCAGGAGAGTTCGTGGTGGTAACGGCTGCAAGGTTGGAGACGACAATGGAAGCCTGTGAGTTTTCGTTGGTTTGCCCTTTTTCTTTATTGTTTTTAGTCTTTGTTCCACTTTTGCTATGTTTGGCTCCCAAGAAAATTCGAATCTTCTCGCCCGGAAAGTTGTTAGTCTTCTCAAGTGAATCAATCGAATCCATATCCAATAAACACAAATACGAATTGGAGATTGTTTCCCTTACATATATATATATGTATATATATGATATATATATATACAATCTGCGACACCATGCATGTATATGTAGGTATGTATCGATCCCAAAAGAATCATGTTAATTCTAGACTTCGTAAACCATATGAAGATAGTCTCCCTTAAAAAAAACATGAACTTTCTTTTTAATCATAACATATGCAATGCTAAACTATGTTCAAATTTATGAATATTGACCAACTATATGAGGATTTTGCTATGGTTTTTTTTTTGGCTCTAGGTTAGACATTGAGATCTGTGTTGTTCATTTAAATAAAATCATGGGCAGCGCTCTATAAATAATTAATGGCAGCGCTCTAAAATAACAGATTTTGATATTTTATTTTTAGTAAATTACAGATAGATTTTTTATTATATATGAATAGATTAAAAAAAAGTATATCATTTTTAAAAATTAATTAAACGATCCAAATTCAAACATTAGATTAAAAAAACATTTTTGTCCTAATTAAAAAAAATTGCTAGGATAGATTAATTTATTATTCAACGCTAGTTTTGGTAATCACAAAAAAAAAATATTATTTTACAGTATGTATGTATATTATGGATAATATATGAAATAAAAAAGGGGGAGAATCTTAATTCCAACAGGATGTTGATGTGGGAAGATGGATTCTGCCGAGGAAGAGGAAGTGGAGATCATTGCTTCGGAGACATGGACGGAGAAGATCCTGTCCGAAAGGCTTTCAGCAAAATGTCCATCCAACTATATAATTATGGCGAAGGGTGGGTACTTGGTAGGTGCTTAATTTCATTTCATATATATGTGTGTGTGTATATATATATTCCAAAAACATATAATTAATTACCTTGTCATTAGATTCACACACACACATATATATACAAAAACGCATATACACACATACACACTTAAGCTTTCCAACGCAACTATATACACAAAATAGAAAGAAAGTTATCTGTGGCAAATTCGGGCAGGTTGATGGGGAAGGTTGCTTCGGATAAATGCCATAAATGGGTATTCAAGGAACAAACCGAATCCGAATCCAATGCTTCTAGCTATTGGCAGAGTTCTTTCGACGCTGTAAGCTCTCGTTCTTTCTGCATTGTCTCCTTCGAATTCAAATGTTCACAAGTTTATGATTCTACAAAATCGATAACTCGGGTGGTGGTTTACCAATCATCAATCCATAATATACATATATATATATATATATTGATAAATGAATTTGAATGTGATATATATGTTTGAAAAATCGTAAATAATCACATGTACATATGGAACGTTTTCTGGTTTCACGTAGATTCCCCCGGAATGGAACGATCAATTCGAGTCGGGAATTCAGGTAAAAGGTTCATGCATGAGCTGATCATCTCGATCTCGATCGATTCATTTCTTCGTTTTCCTCTTCTTCTTTTGATCCGTTGCTTGATGCTCGAGATCGATACTTGTGCGCTCTTTTGTTTTGAACAGACGATAGCAGTTATTCAAGCAGGTCATGGGCTGTTGCAACTTGGTTCTTGCAAGATTGTAAGTTCTCATGCATACTTTTCACTTTCTTGTGTTTCGCTTTTTACGATACAACACAAAATATATGATACGATATATATGTGATTGATTCATGCATGAAACGATTGAAACTGCCTAGAAATTTCACATAAAACCTGTACGTGAATCAAATGTCTCTCATCACAAATTTCGCGTAATGGTTCCATTGAATCGGGCCTTGTTTATATATATATAATATGTAAATATTTGTTATTTTTCTTGTTTTAGCAGTGTCCCTATTGGATTCAAATAACTCGGTGTGTCTATATATTTTCATTCATTGATGAGGTATTATATATTCCGCAATTCTTGTCATTAGGTACCAGAGGATTTACACTTTGTGCTAAGGATGAGGCACACGTTCGAATCAATCGGCTACCAATCCGGATTTTACCTTTCTCAACTCTTTTCTTCGAACCGAACCACTTCCCCTTCACCTTCGCCATCGCATTCCACACTCATCGGCTCAAACCATCCAATCATCGCACCGCCGGCTCAGCCACAGCATCTTCCGGTATACAACTGGGCGAACCAGCGGCCGATGGTCCCACCACAACTCCCCGTCCCGACCTTGCCGAACTTCCATACGCATCTGCCGTTCCCACAACCCAACAAAGAGCAAGAACCCGACGTGAAATGGCCAAACGGGTTATCATTCTTCAATGCGTTGACCGACAACGTCAACGCGAAGCTTCTGTTCGGTTCAGAGGGATTAGGGGACAAACCGGATCATCAAAACCAGAATCAGAATCAGAATCAAGACCAGAGTAGTTCTGAGAACCAAGCGAACCCGACCGAGTTCTTGAGCCTTGATAGTCAACGGAACATGACTTTCTTGGAGTGACATAGTTTTTGTCGGTAATCTAAGCTTAGTTGCTTTTGTTCTTGTTGTCGTTTCCATGGTTTCTTTTGGTTTGGTCTCTACGTATTAGTTACTGTTGGATGGCCGTTTTTTTTTTACTTAACGAAAGTTTTTTTTCCTTTAAAATGTTCCATGCAAGTTACGTTTACGTGAAATCTTTTTCTTCTTGGGAAAGTTTTTTTTCTGATGCGTTGTTATAAATGTTTGTTATATGGGGTTGGGTACATTAAACACATTGATCAATTGCTAAAATCAAATAAATTATCGTGTGATATAAGTATAAGTTTTGTGTGTGTATATAAGAATACTATAGAATTTGTATTATTATGTTTTCTTTGGTTCAGTTTTTAATTTATACTAATTATGTTTCATATTTAAATTCATTAATTGGATTGGATGTTTAATAATAACAATAAATTTTGTACGTTACAATTTTTTATAACTAAATACATTTTTAAGTAATTAAAGTGTTTTATATATTTTCACAAGCATGCTCAAATCTTGAACTATAACGCAATATTCTTCGTCAGATGAGTAAGCATATTCTATAAAATTAGACCACAATATCTGCTTAAGAAAATTAAATAACCATTAACACTAGAGCCATGTATCATGTATGTATATATGATTAACACTATCTATAATATATTAAAAAAAATTTACCTTCGTGCACCTTTTTAATAAATATATACAACATAAAACTTCATTCCGATCAATACCCAAGTACGTTATCCAAGTGTACAACTTTGCACCGAGATTAAACTAAGCTTTGCTTAAAATGTCGGAGTATAAAAATACCATTAGATAAATTTATCAAAATTCAAATATAAAAAAAAAAATTATCAAAATTTAATCTTCCCTTTCATGTCCACGTCATCATTGACCACTCTTGCGGACTCCATTGCATGGCACTCCCTACAAGCCAAAATCACAGCCCTCAAAACTCTCTTCCACCACCTCGTCGCCCTGCTTTCCCTCCTCTCATCCGCCTTTTTCCTCCGCCTCTCTTCCGCCGTGTTGGGGGGTTTTACGTTACTCCGATCGTTTGTTATGAATCAGTAACACAAACCCCTTACTTGTGTAAACCTGTGAGGATGACAATATCTAGTGCAACGGTACAAGACAACGATTTTTAACGTGGAAAACCCCCTCGGTGTGAGGAGTAAAAACCACGGGACCGTAGTCCACCCAAAAATCCACTATAACTGGATTACAATGTTCACACAGCTAGCAACACACTGAGATTACAGAATATTAACTCCGATATTCTAATCTCAGTAACCCGAGAGAATACTACCCATAAGTAGTAACCAGACTGCAAATCAACCCCGTGACTTCTGATTCCAGCAACAACTCAACCGTATAAATCAAAGACGAAAGGGTCAGGAACAAGTATACCGATTTGCAGCTCAACTGGAGACGAAAAACCACCGTCAAATATCCCGACGATCAGAACTGTGTTGATTCGGTCTGTAGAGAACAACTTCCGAAAAACCTCCGTCGGAGTGTAGAAACTCTTCTCACAATTTTAGATCGATCAGAAAAATATTTTTCTGATCGAATCTCTCCCCGAATACCCACAATATTTTTCCACTCTTTTTTTTCACTCTCCCTTTTTTTTTCTCTCACTTTGCTTCTGCTTCTGCTTGCTCTGCGTGCTTCTCCCCCTCCGCGAAGCCTCCGTTTTTATAGGCAAGTCTTGCCTAACAAAACAAAAAAACAGGTGGGGCCTACAGAGGAAATTTACATCGCCGCCTTGCGGCTGCCTTGGCTTCGTTAGGCGGAAAATTCAACAATTCTCCCCCTTCCGACTATGAAGCCAGAACCCGTCATCCCAGCAATCTTGCGACACACTTCAAGCTTCCCTCTAGGAAGTACCTTTGTCATCATATCAGCACCATTGTCATCAGTGTGAACTTTCTCGAGCTCAACCTCCTTCGAATCAACGACATCTCGAATCCAATGATACCTCACATCAATGTGCTTCGATCTTGAATGAAACGTCTGATTCTTCCCAAGATGAATGGCGCTCTGACTGTCGCACAACAAGACATACTTATCTTGTTTAAACCCAATCTGCTCAAGAAACCTCTTCATCCACAACAACTCCTTACAAGCTTCCGTTGCGGCGATAAACTCAGCTTCAGTAGTAGAAAGTGCAACACATTTCTGCAACTTCGATTGCCATGCCACAGCTCCACCCGCAAAAGTTACCAAGTAACCCGACGTAGATTTCCGAGAATCCGTATCTCCGGCCATGTCAGAATCTGTGTAACTAATCAACAAAGGTTTATCACCTCCAAACACAATTCTCAAACCAGAAGTACCTCGAAGATATCTCATAATCCACTTCACTGCTTGCCAATGTTCTCTTCCTGGATTTGAAAGAAACCGACTGACAGTCCCAACGGCGTGAGCTATATCTGGTCTTGTACAAACCATAGCATACATCAAACTTCCCACTGCAGAGGCGTATGGAACTCGTCTCATATCCTCATTCTCTGAATCTGTACTCGAACTCTGTTGACTGCGCAATCTAAAGTGTGAAGCAAGAGGCGAACTCACAGCTTTAGATTTCTCCATATGGAACCGCTGAAGTACTTTCTCAATGTACTTCTCCTGTGACAGATACAACAACTTGTTACTTCTGTCTCGGACAATTCTTATCCCAAGAATCTGCTTTGCTGGTCCCAAATCCTTCATAGCAAAGAACCGACTAAGTTGTTTCTTCAACACCATTATTCTCTCTGTGTTCTTGCCCACAATCAACATGTCGTCCACGTAGAGCAGTAAGATGATAAAATCATCCTCAGAAAACTTCTGCACAAACACACAATGATCTGAAGTCGTCTTCTTGTAACCATGTTCCCCCATAACTGACTCAAACTTCTTGTACCATTGCCTCGGTGCTTGCTTCAACCCGTAAA